GTCTGAGACACCATGTCTGCTGCCTCCAGCCACGCAGCCTGTCTAACTAACGCAGGGAGTTAGTTATTAGCTTCAAATTTTGCCATGAAAATTTACAAAAGCCAGAATCTTTGACAACCAGCAGGTGAACTCAAACTAATCCCCTGTCACTGATTCCACCTCAAATGCAATTTGTTTACAGAAATAAATTTCCCTTTGACTAGATCATCAAAACTTCATTTTCCCATATACCATCACAGTTATTTAACAACCAAATATCACTCTAAAGCAAAGGAAATCTGCGATTCAACTTATAAAATTCCAATTTAAGAGTAATTTCATTAAAACATCTTCACTAAGCATATTTAATTTAAAAACTATTGACTAATAAAGAAACACATCATCAGAAATAGTGTAAGCACTTAAAAAACACATTAATAACTTGGCTTCAATTAATCAGTTACATTGTCATCAGCAGAGCAGTCAGAATATAAAAATCTAGAAATATAAGTATTTAGAAGTATCTGAGTCATTTATCATTCAGGAGGAAAATGTTAGATCCCTTTTAGCAAATGTCAAGCAGATAAAATATTTTTTTCTCACTTGACTCACATTTCCTTTTTTTTAACTGTTCTTTTCTTATATTTTTAAAATTCATTCTATTTGTTATATGTGACAGAAGAATGCAATTCAATTCATATTACACAAATAGAGCACAATTTTTCATGTCTCTGGTTGTCCAAAAAGTAGAGTCGCACTGTTTGTGTCTTCATACATGTACTTGGGGAATGATGGCAGAAAAGGAATAGATAAGCATAGCAGGAAAAAGTAGGTAAATTTTAAACAACCTCAAAAGTATAAAATGTGATTTTGAAAAATGAAAACATTACATCATATTATAATTTAACACTAACATACTATCAAAATATCACCAAAGAAAATCAAAATGGAAATGACAACATTTGAGAAGTATACAATAAAATGTTGAAATATTTCTATTTGAGGCCTTAGGTGCCAATTACCCAGGTCCTAAGTGATGGTAAAGGGAATTTCTGAAGACCAGTTTGAGGATCCAAAGGTTGAATAAGAGAGGTGACAAAATTAAACTCAGGAAAATTTCTTTAGAAAGAATTGTTGTACTATGGGTATCCACCGTGGTGTGGCAGCACTTAGTTCTTTTCTCAAGATTAGTGAGAGATCACTTAAGATCACTCAGGGAGCTTGGTATGTGCTCCCTGGAGTGTGCAGCACAGAATGAACTGGCATCAGACACAACCTGAATTTTGAAATGTCCCCCAAGTGAGACAGACAGGCTGAAGTGCAAGTGTGTGCAAAGCAGAGAACTGTTTGGGAAATAATTCCTCTCCTCTAAGAACCGATCCAAGTCCATGATCAGCAACAGACATAGAGCCTACTGAAGAATATCACATGTGCTCATTTTTAAAGGGATCAGGAAGCAACATCCTCCTTTGGGTATCTCCAAGCCAATCTCCCACTGAAGATAACTGAAAAATTAGGTAAAGTGTATTTTTAAAGCATCATGTTAAAGGTGTTAAAAAACAAAAACAAAACAAAAAACTAACTAAATAGTGAAAAACTGTGCAGCTAATGTCCTGGAAAAGCTGTAATCCACTACGATGAATCTAGCATTTAAAGTTCCCCTTTTTCTAGAGCAGATGATTACTCAGCAATGGCAGCAGAGTGACTTAGCAGTGACCATCACTGCTAAGTTTCCTCTTGAGAGGAAACTGAAAGACACAATCCAGGTCCTTCAAGGATGCGGACCCAAAGCATCTACCCATGGGTTTGAACTGATCTCTAGGGTAAGGGTCAACTGAAAGTAAACCATTCCTCACAGGACACAGATTTTGGCACAATAATAAAGTTCTGCTATTTGAAAGACACCATTAAGAAAATGAAAAGAGAAGCCAGATTTGAAGAAAGCATTTGCAGATAAAGGACTTATATCCAGAATATATAATAACTTAATAAATACAACTAAAAAAAGAAAAAAAAAAAGAAAGAAAGAAAGAAAGGTATTTGAAGAGACATTTTTCAAAAGAAGATAGATGAATGGTCAGCAAGAACATAAAAGCACACATCATTAGTCATTAGGAAAATAAAAAATAAATACACTATGAAATATCACTACATACACATCAAAAATAGAAAGATTAATGATAGCAAGTGTTGGTAAGGATGTAGACCAACATGATGATGTAGACATACATTGATGATGAGAATATAAATTGTACAACAGTTCTAGAAATAGGGAATTTTTAAAAAACATTCACAGTTTTACATGTAGCATATGGCCCAGCCACTCTCTAACTAAGGATTTACCCAAGATAAAAACATATGTCTACAAAAGACTTGAACATTAATGTTTATTGCACTGTTGTTTGTAATAGCCCCAAATTAAAACAATCCAAGAAGTCTATCAACAAATCAATAGATGCACAAAATGTAGTCCATCCACAAAATGTAGTCCACCATGGAATCCTACTTAGCAATGAAAAGGAATTACTTAGTAGTATAGGCAACAAAATAGATGAATCTCAAAATCATTATGATGACTCAAAAGGTGGAAATACCTCCCATGTTCAAGCTTAGGCAGAATTAATATCATTAAAATGGCCATACTACCAAAAGCAATATACAGATTCAATACAATAACTAAATACTAACTACATTCTTCACAGAACTAGAAAAAAAAAATCCTAAAATTCATTTGGAAGAATAAGAGACCCAGAGTAGCCAAAGCAATTTTGAGCCAAAAAAGCAAAGTTAGATAGGCATCATAATACCTGATTCCAAATTATACTGCACAGCTATAGTAACAAAAACTGCATGGTACTGACATTAAAACAGACATAGAGACCAATGACACAGAAGAGAAGACACAGAGACAAACTCACATATCTATAGTCATTTGATCCTTGACAAATATGCCCAAAACATATTGGATAAAAGTAAGACTTTTTTTTTAACAAATAGCGCTGGGAAAACTGGATATCCATATGTAGAAGAATGACACTAGACCCTCATCTCTCACACTACACAAAAATCAATTCAAGATGGATCAAAGACTCAGGAATTAGAGCAGATATTGCAACCCCTAGAAAAAAAAATATAGAGATAATACTCCAGCTAATAGTTACAGGGAATGACTTGCTCAATGGGACTCCTAATGCTCAGGAAATAATGCCAAGTGTTAATAAATGGGATGGCATCACACTAAAAAGCTTCAGCAAAGGAAACAAGGAGGAATATACAGGAAGAACCCACAAAATAGGAGAAAATTTTTGCTAGGTACTCTTCTGACAGAGAATTAATATCTAGAATATTTGAAGAACTCAAACTTTACACCAAAAAATGAAATAACCGAATTAAAAATGGGCAAATAAATTAAACAGACATTTAGCAAAAGAAGAAAAACAAACTGCTAACAAATACATGAAAAAAATGTTCGACATCATTAGCAATTAAGTAAATACAAACCAAAACTACACTAAGATTTCATTTCACACCAGTCAGAATGGCAGTCACCAAAAATACAAATAATAATAAACGCTGAAGAGGATGTGGAGAAAAATAAACCTTTTAACACTGTTGGTGGGATTATAAATTAATACAACCACTGTAGAAATCAGTATTGAGATTCCTCAAAAGACTAGACATGGAATCACCATATGACCCAGTTGTATCACTCCTCAATATTTATCCTGAAGAATTAAAGTCACCATACTACAGTGATACACGCATATCCCTGTTTATAGCAACACAATTCACAATAGCCAAACTCTGAAATCAGCTTAGGAGTCCATCAACGAACAAATGGATAAAGAAAATGTGATCTATCTATCTATCTATCTATATATGAGTATAGATAGAATATATTATATATATATATATATATATATATATAATATGAGAATATATATATATATATATGAGAATATATATATATATATGAGAATATATATGTACAAATATATACATGTGTATATAAGTACATATGTACATACATATATAAGTATATATACATAAGTATATATATATATATATATATATATATATATATATATATATATATATATAGAGAGAGAGAGAG